CAAATTGGTATAGGTTTCAGTACTGGGAGGAAAGGTTCTATAACAAGGCCTTTTGAAAACCTCATAGTGGATAAAGACCAAAACAGTTTTTCACTACAGAATGGAAGGCCTTAATCATTGCCAAATGCACTTTCAGTGAGCTGAGCGATAAAACAGACATTTTTAACATAAAGGAAATAGTCCAGAATGGTAGGGATCTTTGAGCCCTTTGGACGTATCTGAGGATGCAGACATCAGACAGAAAATTTCTTCCATTTCATCATAGAGACTTTCCTGCTATTATTGAGAATGGCTTGTTCTGACTCTGAACTTGACCTCTCTAAGCTCATCATCCATCCAAATACCAGGCTTAGACTGAGTGATGATGGATTTGGATGAGTGGTCTTGCCTTTCTCCGAAGTCAGCTGGTTCAGAGCTGGACAGGACGCCATCTGAAGAAAGCTGGTGAACCAAAACTGTCTCAGCCACTAGGATTGGCCAATGCTTTTTTCCTGCTCGATTTTCCTCAGGCTTGAGGAAAGAGGGGAAATGGGTGGCAAAGCATACATTAGCGGCTCTGACCATTTTACTAGGAATGCCTCTTCTCAGGAATTGTACCCCTGAGCTGCCTGGGAACACTAGACCAGGCATTTTTAGTTTTCTTGGCATAAAAAGACGTTCCACAACAGGAATCCCCACTGTCAGAAAATGCTCTATCACTGAGCTGTGAAGTTTTCAATCCTGGTCTCTGGAACTGCCTGCTGAGGCTGTCTGCCAAAGTGTTCATTACTCCTGGGAAGTGCACTGCCAAGAGAGTGATCTGATGTCAGATATACCAATTCCAGAGCTTGATCATCTTCATGCAAAGAGTGGTGGCCTGCTCTCCTTCATGTTTGTTCATGTACTATACTGTAGTCATATTGCCCAACATACTGAATATGTAGGGAATTGGATGAAAGGCAAAAGCCTTCCGTAGGATTCGAGTACTGCTTGCAGTTGGAGGAGACACATGTGAAGCTTGAATCTTGCAGAGTCCAAGAACCTTGAGCCACCTGTTCATCCAGATGTGCTCCCTAGCCCGACAGGGAGCCATATGGCATTAGTTTCTTCGTGGGAGGAGGGGGAACAAAGGTAACAGTTATGCCCACAGCTTCTATTTTCCCACCAGGTCAAAGATCTTGAAAACATTGTGAGGAACTGAAACCCGCTTGCCCAGCTTGTCTCTACTCAGAGCATAAACTGTTTGCAACCACACCTGATGATTCCACAGATGGAGTCCTGTGATGGATATCACATAGGAGACCATATGGCCTAGGATCTCCCAGGGCTCAGTCAAAGCTGGAAGATGAGGTCCATCAGAGCTTGCAATCCGTCCTGGGTAAGTATGCTTTGGCTCTTATCAAATCCAAAAATTGCTCCAGTAAAAGTCTATAGTTTGCACAGAAACTGAAGTGGACATTTCTAGGTTTCCTTCGAGCTATAAGGATTGAAGGAAGCTGATAGAGCTGCCAACTGTACCTCTTTCCCAGTATGACTGACTTATGAGCAGCCAGTTGTTGAGGTAGGGAAATACTGGGGTGCCCTGGTGATGCTGGTATGCTGCCACCATGGATAGCGCCTTCATGAAAACCCTTGGGCGATCAAGAGACGGAAGGAAAGCTTTCTGTACTGGTAGTGGTCTAGGCTCACTGTAAAGCGAAGCAACCTCCTGTGTGCTGGGTGAATGTCTATGTAGAAATAGGCATTCTTCAAATCTAGAGTTGCAAATCAGTTGTCTTTGTTTCGAGAGGGGATTATAGAGGCCAGGGTGACCATTCTGAATCTTGATCAGCGGATGAAGATATTCAGTTGTTTTAGATCCAGAATGGGTCTCCAGCATCCCTGTTTCTTGGGTATGAGGAAGTATCTTGAATAACAGCCCTTCCCCCGTGCTGTGGACCGACCAGTTCTATAGCACATAGACAAGAGGTAGACTCCCAGCTCCAGCTGAGAGTCCTCTTGTGAGAGGGATCCTTGAAGAAAGACAGGAAAGGGAGTTTTGAGGTAGGGATGGACAGAAATTCTATTGTATAGCATTTACCGGTGGTAATGATCTCTAGAACCATCTGTCCGACATGATCTGATGCCACACCTGAAAGAAACAGGCTAAGTAGCCACCAAATGGAGCTCAGGGTTCCTGGGCTCAGGGCTGCTGCTCCCCACGGCTCCTGCCCAGGCTCTAGGCCTCCCAGGCTCAGGGCTCCTGCCCAGTCTTGGGGCTTCAGCCCGTGTCTCCTGCTGTGGCTCCTGCCAGGGCTGAGGCACCCATTTTTCAAATTGTTCATGGCCTCTGGGTACAGGCCCCATG